ATGCTCCCTTGGCCAGCCACCCCTCCCTCGGCTCCTCTTTCTCCCGCTGATCTTGCCTGGACGGCCCTCCCACTTGTAACGCTGGGGAGGGGGCCGTACAAGCCTCTGTGCTGTCATATCCAGCCGTCGCCTTGTTCAGGGAGGGATCCCCCCCCGCACCCACCCGCCTGCCTGCCTGCCTGCCAAAGGAGTGTTCATCGCCAGCCTTTTGAATATATGAACAGCTTCAGCCGTGATGGCTGGGAATGCAGTGGCTGATGTCTTGTTGTCTTGTTGCCCAAGGGGCATCTACATCATCAGCCTGGGATGTTTACCATTAATACCATGCAAAGCTTCCTGCCTCCTCCTCTCAGGTTCTGAGTCTCTCTCTCCAGCAGGATCTCAGACTTTAATTGCAGTGCTAATTTGAAGAGAGAGAGAGAGAGAGAGAGAGAGAGAGAGAGAGAGATCAGGGGCCACAGGTGGCAGCCATCGGGTAATGATTATGATTTCCTGATATTAAAGGCACCCCCCCCAAAAAAAAAACAGGCACACGTGTCCCAAAGGCTCCCAGGAGCTTCTCCATGTCAAAACGGATCCGGGGGGTGGGGTGGGGAGAGACCATAAAAGGTGGATGGAAGGGGGAGAGGCAGGAAGCTTTAAGCCTAGATCAAAGACTCGCGCTGCAGGCTGCAACACGGTCAACGTTTACACCTGTGTTGTGCCAGATGGATTTCAGCCATGGTGACTCTTCAGCCACACTTTGGGATGGAACCTTTTTTCTTCTTCGTGGTTAAAAATAATTGTTCTTGAAGTTTATGGTTTCTGTTTGGATTTAGAGGACTGGACACTGCTTTGGAGTGGCTTTTGGGCCTTGAAAGGCAGCCTGCCAAAATCCTCTCTATAGGAAGCAGGGCTGTTTGTCTTTTCTTGTCTAGGATTGTCGCTGCCAGGCTCAATGGCTCGCTGGACTTCTATTCCTTGAAGACCCACACCACCTCCTTCGAGCACTCCCAGTTCCGAGGTAAGAGGAGCTGCCCATCTATCACACCGGAGACAGATGTGGGTCCTGCTTGTGTTGGTGTCCCTCCAAGCTCAGAGCCTTTTCCTAAAAATGGAGGGACCTGGAACAGGTGCAGCGGGAGGTCAAAGTGAGAAACCTTCCTGCCCACGTGCTCTTCAGTGGCCACGTGGAAATTCCTGGCCCTCTTCTCGGCAAGCACCAGGCTCGTTGAGAGGCCTGGCCTTTGGCCCCGGCGACAGTTCTGCCTGCTCTTCCTCTTTCCCTCGGCTCCTCTCCTCTCTCCCGAGCAGTCCCGGAAGGTAACGGAGGTGACTATGGTGGTGAGTCATCTTCCTCCTTCTACTCCTCGTGCTGAAACACATAGGGACCTGGTCTGGGAAGCAGAAGTGGAGAGCCCCAGTAGAGTGCCCCACATGGGCCCGGAGCGCTGCCCTTCCTTGTGTTTCCTGAAGGGCTCCGGGATGAGTCAGCCTGCCTTGCCTGCCCGCCCGCATACGTGCGCGTGCACACACTCACACTTTCTCTCTCTCTTTCCCAGGAACTCCCGGGCGGAGCAGCCTGCCAGCCTCTCCCATGTACAGCAACAGCGACGTCATCGCATGCCGGCTGACCCACACCGTGACCTGCGCCCACCAGAAGCCCATCACGGCTCTGAAGGCAGCTGCGGGGAGGCTTGTCACGGGGAGTCAGGATCATACCCTGAGAGTGAGTAAAGAATGAGGCCCGAGGTCTGGAGGCCAGCCCTTGGTAACCGCAGTTATTTTTTTTCCCCTCCTGACCTGGGAGGCCTTTTCAGGCAAGGACGGTGTTCGCACAAAACTGGAGCAGAGAAAAACTCTGCCTGTGAACCCTCCTGTACGAGGCTGGGATGGGGGAGGAGGGTGCAGGCAGACCTCTGCTCCGTTCTGTGTTTCAGGCACAGCCTCTCCTGCTGGTTGCCGGTGGCCCCAGCGCTGTGGCCGGTGGCTGTGTCGGCTTGCAGTGGGTCTCCCAGGCCCACCCGGTGTTGTTGGGCACCCTTCCCTGTGTGGCTGAGGGATGTCGACAACTGCCGCCCAGCCTCCTCTTGAGGGCCATCCTTGATCTACCACGTCTTGAAGGCCTGGGCTTCCCAGTGAGGCTGGTGGTCAGGCTTTCCTGGCATTTTAGTCAAGTGGTTGGCAATATCGGGTTGGCACCCCTGCCCTGTATGTGGTTCCAGACTCTGCTAGGGAGGGGATGTAAACTGGCAACAGTGGACTCTCGGCTAAATCTGTGACTTCCTCTATAAGGAGGGAGCCCCTTAAAGGAAGACTCAAGAGCAGAGGCGCCAAAGGAGCCCTTTGGCTGAGAACGGAGGCTTCCGGAGGAGGCAGAGAGGGGGGTGGGGTGCCCCCTTCTCCCATTTGCCTCCTTCCACAGCCTGCCCAGGGCAGCGTCATCTTTATCTCTTGACCTCTGGGAGGGAGCGGCTCCCATGAGCGGGTCAGGAATACCATGGGCTGTGCCATTTCTGGCTGGTGTGAGGGCAGCCCCTTTGCGTTCCCGGTTTTCAAAAGGCACTCGTGGCAGACGAAAGGAGCCGCTTGTGTGCTGGGCAGCACATGTTGGGCATGGATGGGAAATTGAGAGAAAGAGAGAGAGGTGCCAGCTTTGCCCCTGCTGATCGCGTTTCCCCTCCCTCCCTCCTTCCCTCCCTCAGGTGTATCGTCTGGAAGACTCCTGCTGCCTCTTCACTCTGCAGGGCCACTCGGGAGCCATCACCGCTGTCTACATGGATCAGGTAGGAAGCCCTTGGAAGGTTTTTGCCACGGCAGGCTCCTTTCTAGTCATCGGCTGCACAGGAGATCTCTGAGGAGACGGGGGAGAGGTAGCCAGGTTGTTCCCTCTGTATGAGAGAGAGACATCATTGGCGGCTGTGGCCGTCGGCTGTGTCGGCCTGCAGTGTGTGTCTGGCAAATGGTGGCACCTTCTGGCTGCTCGGGATCAACCAGTTTGAGGAAGGTGTGGGTTTCAAGGGTGCCTTTGACACGGACCCCGACCGCATGTGCAGGTGCTTTTTGCCTCTTAACCAGCAAAGCCGTGTAGGCGAAAGCCAGAATGGTTTCCCTCGGGAGCGTGAGACATCACAGCTCTCCCTAGTTGGACAGCCCTAGCTAGGAGACCTCCTACGGGGGCCGGAACTGGGTTCCCAGAGTCCAGAAAGGCCGCCTTGTCCAGGCCTGTCGGCCGACAGGGTCTTAGATATATGTCTGTGCGCATGTCGGAGGCCAGGGTTCAGCGACAGCCCGACCACTCTTGCTTCTCTCGTGGCCGAACTGGGCGCCGGTCGGTCTGTCCTCATTGAGCTTGAGCCAACGGGAATGCCCCTGCCCGACCTCGCTGCCCGGTCCTGGGCATGTGAGTGGAGGTTTCCTTCCTTCCTCCTTTCAGACCATGGTGCTGGCCAGTGGGGGCCAGGATGGCGCCATCTGCCTCTGGGATGTGCTGACCGGCAGCCGAGTGAGCCACATGTACGCCCACCGCGGGGACGTCACCTCCCTGACCTGCACGGCCTCTTGCGTGATCAGCAGCGGCTTGGACGACGTCATCAGCATCTGGGATCGGAGCTCTGGGATCAAGCACTATTCCATCCAGCAGGTGCCTGGCTAGGGCCTGTCCCCGCGGAGCAGGGGTGGGGTGGGGTGGACGGGGTCATCCTGCTGCTTGGGTGCAGGGGTTGGCGGCGTCTGGGCTGGGCATGCCCAGAGGATGCCAGAGAGTGTCACAGTTGCCCCTCAGCCAGCGTTCGGTCTCCATGTGGGGCTTCGCATGCGGTGGCCCTTGGCCACAGCTCGGGAGCTTCCCTTAGGTCTGAAGGAAGGGGCTGCTGGAAGACTTTGCAGGGCCACCGATTTGGGCTTCTGGACCAAAAGCAAGGCAGCTCCTGGAGGGATCATCCTCATGCCTGCTTCCTCCTTCACTGGAGCGTCCTCGTGGCCCTTGGCTGCAGGCATCCCTTCTGAGCCCTTCGAGGGCCCCCAGGAGCTGGCAGGGCTCTTTCCAGGAACCCCCTTGAGATTACAAGGCTTCCGGCCATCCTCCTTTTTTGGAAGACCACTCAGGAGGACCTCCTGTTGAGACAGACGGCATCTTTCTCCAGCCGTGCTTACTGAGCACGTTGGATCTACGCGTGTTTCGTCAGTCCATCACATTTTTTAAAAATTACTGTCATTTTTGAAGTGGTAGCCATGTCAGCCTGTGCACGCGTCTCAGCTAGGGACACACAACAAAACAGAAGCTAATCTAGAAGCGAGACAGAAACACAGCGGCGGCGGCGCCACCTGGAAGACCAAGTGGTATAATTTAATGTGAACTTTTGTGGAACGAGACCACTTCTTCAGACGCAAGAGTGTGAGAATAACCAAGCTTCAAAGGTACAGCCAGCTAAATTCGTTAGCACGTGTTGTTTTTGTGGCCGCTTCGTTTATCCACTAATCAATGTGGTTGTTCACAGAACAAAGCTTCCAAGGAAATAACTGATTACTAAACTGGGCTCTTCAATAACGACTAGGCATGAAATGCAGCTTCCAAGCCTACCTACCAACCAGGGCGCTGTCCTTTTATCGTAGAGCCCTGCATGAATATTTCATGTTGTTGTTTCTGGATTCTCCTCCTTAGGTGTGGAGAAGCTTCCGTGCTTGAAGAGCAGGCGCTCTACCTCTCTGCTGCCGTGGGGCTGCATCTTGGGGGGTGAACCCTCAGGTGCATGGGGAGAGGTGTGTGGGTGCGGGCAGGCGAGAGGCACCGGCTGGCGTGTGTGGCACGCGTGGCTTTCGTGCTCTGCAGCTGTGGAAAAGCAGAGAGAGAAGACTCACCAGGCTGCTCTGTGTGCCCTTCCTTCCCCATCTCTCTCTTCCCCCCCCTCCTCCCTCCTCCCTCTCTTTCCGTTTTGATGCCAGGACATGGGCTGCGGAGCCAGCCTGGGCTTGATCTCCGATAACCTGCTGGTGACGGGAGGCCAGGGCTGCGTTTCCTTCTGGGACATTGGCTACGGGGACCTGCTGCAAACCGTCTACTTGGGCAAGAGCAACGAGTCCCAGCCGGCCCGCCAGATCCTGGTGCTGGAGAATGCAGCCATCGTCTGCAACTTCGGCAGCGAACTCAGCCTGGTTTACGTGCCCTCCGTGCTGGAGAAGCGGGACTGAAGGGGGGGGGGCAAAAGGCGGCCATTTTTCCTGACTGGGCCACCCAGTGGAGTGGAATGTAGATTTCTTCTTGGAGTGGAATGTAGACTCCCCCACCCCTACCCCTGCCGGAGCTTCCTCCCATCTCAGCCAGGGGTTTGGGTTAAGCTGGAGATCCCAGATCCGTACAGATCCATAGGAAGCTGCTGCGGAGTGGATGGAGAAGAGGCCTCCTGGCCGCTTCCGCCCAGCACTTTTTCCCACCCCAAGAGCGAGCGAGCGAGCGAGAAGCCCGAGGACACCTGGTTCTGCCCCTCAAAAGCAGCTGCAGCCGCCTCACAAAAGCCGGGAGCTGGTCCGGCCTTTGCAACAACACGCATCGAGCACAGTCGCAGGAGAGAGGAGGAGGGTGGTGTGCTTTGTGGTGGCTGGAAGCCGGCTGTTCTCAGCACTTAGTCCTTTTGCCTAGCTGGTCCGATCGTGCCCCTCCGCCTGGCAAGCCTTGTGCCACACAATTCTGAGGGAAGAAGACCTGAGAGCTTAGATTGGGGCGGGGGGCGAGGTGTGTTCTGCCGTGGAGGACTTTTTCAAAAGGAGACAGAGGAAGCAAGCACTGGGGGTGTGGGTATGTGCGTGCGCGTGTCTTGAACAAGCCACCCCGAAGGCAGGCAACCAAGCCGCCCCACGGGGCCCTCCACCTGCTGATCCAGTCCTCTTGCCTCTCTCTGTCTGCCCTGAAAGCGAGGCGGGTCGTGCTCCCTGCCCTGTTTATTTATGTGCTGTACATAGTTATTTATTCCGGTAGAGGGGCAGTGGGCAAAGGACGAGGGCAGCCTTTCTGCAGGGTGGGGGTGGGTGGTTCCCCCCCTCCCTTCCCCTCGGCTGAAGCTGGTGCCTCCGTCAAGAGCAGCCAGGCCAGGCCTCCTTGCCGGGTCAGGCCCCTGGAGAGAGTCGGGGTGGCCCTCCGACAGAAGCCGCCCTCCTCCCACAGGTCTGTAGCGTGAGCAGACCGGGGCGGGGTGCCTGCTGCACCGGTGCTGGCCTGCCCCTCCTCTCGGGCAGAGGCGTCACAGGGCATCTTCCCGGTTCGAGGCAGGGAGCTCTGCCGGATCTGCCCTTTCTTGGGGACCAGAGTCTGCCTTGGGAGGATTCCCGATTGGGACCCATCCTGCCGGCAGACCTGCTTGCACGCCTACGGGCACAACACGCACTACTAGCCAGTTGTTCCTGGTTTAGTTCTTGGCTGCCAGGGTGTGGCGTGAGAATTCAGGTGGCAGACAGAAAGAGAGAGAAGGAACCAAGGCAGACCAGCAACTGGAGATTATTTTTTTTTAAAATGGTAAAGCCATTCATTGACTGATTCTCTAGTTCATGTTTTGTTTTTAACTTAGGACTTCTAGCTGTAGGGAGCCCTCTGCTTTGTAGCCTACTAAAGGATGCTTTTTAGGGTTTGCCTGTTGTATTCCGCCTCTCCCACTTCCCCAAGGCGGGGGAACAGCTGCCTGGGTCCGAGGGGGGGGGAGACACCCATGTGGTTGGAGGCTGGCCAGCAAAGGCTCCCCCCAGTCTGGGGCCTGCAACCCCCTGCCCCCTTTTGCGCTCCTGCTGAACAAACCCAAGGAGGGGCTTTGGTCGGTGTCCACACCACGCCTCAGGTGGCCTTAGCTCTGCTGCACCCCTTTGGACGGTGCAGCGGAAGCAGCTTTTGTATCCGGTTGTTTTTATAATGTGTGCAGGTACAGATGCATTAAACAGAACCAACTAACCGGCTCGTGTGTGTGTGTCTTTGGGGCCTGGAGGAGGAAAGGGGTGAAGGAGCTGGGATATACATCCACCCTCCCGTGGCTGTGAGGGAAGAACGGGCAGCCCTTGGCGGGGTGTGTGTGTGTGTCCAGCCACCACTGTCTGCAGCAGAGGCAGGCGCATTGCTTGGCGAAGGGCCCCTTCTGGACCGCCAGCTGCGCCCGTAACTATTCTTGTGTCAGGCACTGGTGACAATTTCTTTTTGAGTTTCACAATGGTAGTACCCCTTGAATAGGAGCATCACTCTCCCCACCCACCCCATTGTAGAAGATGATTAATGTTGCCAATGTGCAAAGAACTCAAAAGCCACAAACTCTGAAACTGGCACGCCGACACATTCAGCGAAGGGCCCTGCTTCAAGAAGAAAGGCCCCTACCCAGGCTCCACCCTAAATAATGCCCCCTTTATTTTTAGTAGGAAAGAGCTGAAAAAGATCTAGATTACAGAGCTGAAGTTGAACCGTGAAGACAATGTTACATTTTTACAGGAAAAAAAAATGTAAAAGAAAGCGTGCCGCCCAAGGCCTTTCCCACTTCTTACTTCCCTCTGGTAGCCACGGAACACAAGGGCTAAATCAAGGCCACCCACCCACCCTTTAGGGACAAAGCGCACAGGGTGGGATTTTTCCTGTTCTTGTTGCCAGACGGTAAAGAAATCTTCCTGTACATCCACACTCGCCTTCGTGCATGTTGGGCTGTAGCCACCGCCATGCCTGGAAGTGGGGAGGGGGGGGCGACACTCGGAGGGGTGGGGTGGCTTTTCTCCCTTGCTCCAGAATTGGGTCAAGGCTGTTTGCCCCATTTTGCTGACTCCATAACTTCTCTCCCCGAGGATGAGACCTGCTCCCAAAGAGGAATGCTTTTTAAAGGGACTGGAAGCAGCCTTTCCTCCCTTGCAGCGCAAGCTTTTAGCTTGTCCTAAAACAGGTTCATAAGCAGCCCTGGGGGCAGGAGTGGACTGGCCCCAAAAACAGCCCAGGTGGCAAGTCCTGGGCCGTTTCTGCCCACCCTCTTCCCCCAATTGCCACAGTCAGTTCCCGTTAAAGAGCTGCACAGGAGGGCGTCAACAGGGCCCTCGCAGCCCCTTCTCACTTGGGGTGTTCATTCCGAAGGGAGGTGAGCACACAACCCCCAAGGAGCGGAGAGGATCAGGTGGCACAAGACACCAGAGGGGGCCTTGCCCTGAGCCCATCCCCAGCGGGCTCAGCCACCTTTGGGGGAACGTCTGGCCCGCAGGGGTTGCAGGGTGCAGGTCGGGTCAAGGCGCAGGGGCTCGGCCACAGTCGTCTCTGCACAGAAGAGGCAAAGCTTCCCTTATAAGGAAGCCCACCAGGCGAACCAGAGAGACGCGCCCCCAAGGTTGCCCCCGGCTAGCACTGGAAGACCGTGTCCCCTCCCTGCCAACGGGGCCGAGACCGCTTCCGTTCCACTGCCACCGGACGGGGTCTTTGGGGAGATCCGTGGCCTTGGAAGCAGGGGAGCCTCTGGCGGCGGTCGCAAAAAGTGCCTTGGTGGGGCTCCTGGAAAAGCTGCAATCGAACGGCAATGTGAACCGGCTGCCTCCCGCTCCCCCAAATCCCCCCCCCTTGCCTGCCTTCTCTCATGGGAGGACCTGGAGACACAGTGGAGGAGTCAACCGGAGGTGGTGAGGTGGGTGGGTGCCGTGACATCATCTTCATCCTCCTCCTTGTCAGTCCCAGAGGCCCCCCCCTTCTCTCCGGCGTGCTCATGTCTTGTTCAGGGTCCAGAGGGGGTCCAGCATGCTGAGGGGGTCGTCGCTGGCCGGGGCCCCGCGCAGACCCTCTCCGTTCTGGGGCTGAAGGAAGCTCTGCTTACTCATTCGGGGCCTGCCCTTCAGGGAGCTGTCCAGGGTGAAGGCCTCGGGAGTGAGGGAGGCCAGCAGCTCCAGGGAGGAGGAGGAGGAAGGGGCCACTGCAGCCGCCGCCACGGAGGAGGGCTCTGGCCCAGGAACAGCCGGCAGGCGGCCGGCCCCCTCTGCCACCGCTTTCCCCTCTTCTCCCTCCTCCACAGGGTGGCTGTTCTCTGCTGCTGACGGGCCAGTGGCCTCGGTGGCTGGCGGTGGCGGCGAGATGGGCGGAGGGGGCTCTGCGTGATCAGGCAAGGCGGGTTGGGCCACGCTGGCTGGGAACACGCTGGCGTGGCCCGTGGCAGTCCCCAGCGGGGGCTCTGGCGGCTGCTGCCCGTTCGTCGCCGGCTCTCCCCCGCCCACGGGGGGTCGGATGCTGAGTTTGGCAATGGTGGCCTGGATGGAGCTGATGGGCACGTCTCCCCCCAGCACCAGGTCCTGGGGGTCCTGGGGAACGTATGCCTGGGGAGAGGGAAAGAGGGAGGTTTTTAGAGACAGAGTCCCACGCCTCGCCCAGCTCTGCACACGCACCCCCCGAGGGGCCCGGGCCCCATCAGCAGACCAGCAAAGGAAAGAGACTCAGTGTGTGGGCAGGTTTCCCCTCCTCCAGCCTCCTCCACATCCCGGGAGGGGAAGGTCTTTTCTCCCGGGACGGTGCTGACGCTCAAAGGGGGGGGGGAGGGAACTCGGGAGGCAGCCGCACCTTCTGGGTGGCACTGCTGGCCGGCTTGCCGGTGGACACGGCCGTGACCCCATGTCTCTGCAGCACCTGCTTGGCGTGCTTGAGGACGGACTCGTAGCAAAACTTGAGGTGCAGCTGGAAAAGAACAAACCCCGTGAAAGCCGCCAAGGAAGGAGCCCCTTCTCTGTGTGTGTGTGTGTGTGTGTGTCTCTTGCTCAACTGCCCTCCACCGCGGCCCCGGCAAAGGACCCCAGGCTCGTT